AGATTAAAATCGTAATAATTAAAATTATTTTTTAAATTCATATAACTTCTTAAATATTCATTCTAAATATTAACTATATTATACAAACATTTACTTGAACTTGAACTGAACTTTTTGTCAGGTTTGAAATTCGAACTGAACTTTTTGTCAGGTTTGAAATTCGAACTGAACTTTTTGTCAGGTTCGAAATTCGAACTGAACTCGAACCAGACTTTTAATTAGGTTCAAATTTTCGAACCAGACTTTTTGTCAGGTTCGAGTCTGGTTCAAGCTCGAACTGAACCAGACTTGAACTGAACCAGACTTTTTTTTCGGAACCCTACTATACATCCATTAATAGTATTAAATAAGATAGTTTTGGTATATCTATCAGAAAACTTCAGACAGAATTATTTAATCACACCAAAACTCAAACAATCTGGTGATTAATATATATACTACTGTATCACTCTTCTTAAATTGTACAACAAAAATTCTACAAGAAAATATTACATACTAGACAAGATTGATGTTTGTGCATTAGATCACAAAAGAATTACTTCTAAAGCTTATATATATAAACATGCATATTATGATATCTATTATTATAAGTAATACAAACAAGTAGAATGTAAGGATGAGAAAATCATAGTCTAAATAATATTTTAATTAGTTTTTTATTATAAATTAGATTTATATTATATATATATTTAATATAGATTATTTTTATTAAGATTTAGCATTATTTTCAAGAAAGCAAAATTTGGTAACTATAGAGAAGAACTATAAAGTAATTTTTTATTATATTTATATATAAATAGGAAAACAAAATAGTATAATTATAGAAAGATGTAACTATAAATAGATATGATTATAAAAAAATTTGATTATATATATTATTAATTTCGCAATATAAATAAAAGATCAAATATAAATATTATAAAAATAATAATTTTGTAATATAGATGAAAGATTATAAATTAAATAATAAGAATAACTTTATAATTAAGATGAGATATTATATAAAAAATACTATCTAAAAGATTATTAAAAAATTGAATTAAAACTACTTTAAACTTAACTTGCTTGATTTTTCTAAGCTAAAATACATATTATATTTATAGATAAAATATAAAAACTAAATATTCAATAAAAATACAAGTTGAATTGAATTTCTAATTGAAATTTGAATAAAAATTTGAATAGAAATTTGAATAAAAAATGAATCAAAATTCAAACTGAATTTTGAATAGAAATTCGATTAGAAAATGAATCAAAATTCAAATTGAATTTCTAACTGAAATTTGAATCAAAATTTGAATATAATTCAAATTTCTAAATATAGTTATCTAATAATATAATATTATAAAATATTGAATCATAATAGATCTCTCATTGTTAAATATTTTACTCCATAAAATTATCATCTATTGGTAATAGAATTACTTTTTCAGAGTTTTGTGCAAGTAATTCAAACATTTCAGAAATTCATTCTCTTAAACTATCACTTTTTGCATGACTTAAATATCCAATTTGACTTATACTAATATCATGATCTATGAATTCATATAGCTGTATAAGCTTTTCTGAGTGAATTTTGAGAAGAGATACATTATTTGATAAGTCATTTTGCTTCAGTGCTTCATTATTAATAATTAGAAAGTCAAAAGTCTATATTGATTCTTAAAATTATCTAATTTAGTTAATTTTAACGATCAGTAATTAGCTGATTGCTTTCAAATATAAACAAGAGATTTTAATACATGCGAAAAAAATAAACACAAATCATATCATATATACGCAAAATCTTGCGTCGCACAGAGGTGAGAAAATTAACAATTAATTTTACAATGATAATTTTAACCGGGAGTGAATATCTTTCTGCGCATTTCAGACGATCGATTTAGTAAATGCTGGTCGCTTTTTTGAAAACATAATTTTATTATATAAGCCACATGCAAGTACTAGCCACATAATGTTAAGTCGTTGTATAAGCCACGTAAAGATTAATCAAGATTAAAGTCTTTTCGATCAATACACTCTTTAAATTTATATATCTTCTGAGGAATCGTGATTTCCGGATTCTCATCATACCATACTTCAAAAAGATAAATTCCATTAAGCTGACATAAGGTTCTTTTTTTCCGATCACGATCAACAATATCTTCGAGTTTTTTGACATCTTTATACCAGCTAGTATTATGAAGCCGATGTTGTGCCCCTTGCACTTCTAATGCCATTCGATGATGTCGGAAGAAAGCATCAAGTTCTAATCCCCTCATAAAAGATACTTGAGCAATTAGAATACATTTACGATTTTTCTTTGATTCTAATTCTTTTTTAAGTTCATCTATATCTTGTTCCAATTTCACAACTCTTGCTCTAAGTTCAGCGTTCTCGGCAACAGTATCTGTCCTATTTTTCTCTAGCTCCTCGATTCTGGCCTTAAACTCAGCTTTTTCAGCATCACGCCTGGTATACTCCTCCCTAATTTGCTTTAGAAGCTCAATATACATATTCTCAATATCAGCTTTCTCAGCCTTAATCTTAGCATTCTCGGTCTCAAGCTCAGTGATGCGCTGTCTCAATACTTCGTGCTCGGATGAGTTAGCGAGCGAGGCTTAAGCAGAATAAAAAAAGGTTACTGACCTGAGCGAACCTGATAGCAATTTGATATTGCTTGCCCTCCATAATACAAATAAGTTCCTCAAGGGCTTTGATTGCGTAATTAGCACGGCCTGCGCTATCTTCACCAACAACTTCGAATTGCGGGTTTAGGGTGATATCTTTTCCAGTAAGTTTTTTGACAATATGGATGCATGCATGGAGAATGACCGAAATATATTCACAATGATTAGCTTCGTTGCTCTCAACGACTGTCCCTATATTTCTTAACCTGAGTCGTAAATCCTTGAGGCAATGTATTAAAGCTTCGTTCTCATCATCGATGTTGTGAATTTCTTAAGTAAATAAACGAAATACTGTCATTAAATATACATATAATCGGATTAATGAATGGCAAAAATAAACTTGGTGTAAATTGCGGTATATCTGTTATTCATCCATCTTCTACCTCATGCTTCGCCAACACCTCTCTCAAGTCTTTCTTAGTCTTGTACGAGGAGAACGATCTCAACTTTTTCTCCTTAAGCTCCTTAGCAAAGTCTAGTCGCAGGACCACTAGAATATCCCATTTTTCAAGCTTCTTTTCAGTTATTTTGAGGAAGTCATGACCATTAACCTCTTCCCTTTCTAAAATTTTGAAAACCTTATCACTAAGTTCCAAGTCCTTACGCAAGAATCGAAAAGCTCCTTCGTTTTATATTTTTTAATGTCATCCGCCAACGAGACTGACTCATTCCAGCTGGAGTATAAGATGTATTAGTTTCAGACATAGTATTTTTTTATAATGATAACAAAAAAGTGTATTACGTTCCAGAGTGAAATAAAAATTTATTTTTGTTTGGAAAAATGTTTTTATGTCGCATCATTACACATGACCCGCTTCGATAAAATAATAATACTTTATTTATAAAATAAACGTCGCCGGAAGCAGATAATAATACATAACAATTACGAATAGTTCGCTTTTACATAGATAAAAAAAATTATTCCGACTGGGGGTATACAGTGATATGGAAGTGCTCTGCTTTAGGTTCCTTAATAAAAATATCAGAAATCTCGTCATACACATACATTTTCTTTTCAATAACGCTTCCGGCTTGAATCATACAAATTTTGAGAGGGATATTATTAAACGATGCCTCCAATCTGCTTTGAATTACAGCCTCAAGTTTGCTAGCACCTTCATGTTTGCGAATTATAATCGCCTGCATTACTTTAATGCAAGGAATATTCATAAGTTTTCCTATAAGAACAATAAGACAATTGAGAGTGATGTTTTCATAGGTCAATTTAATTCCTAAATACAAGAACCAATAGTGAGAAAATTTCTTGACCCACTCGTATTAAAGAACATATACTGTACATATCTTAATCTTTTTTGCGGGAAAGTTGGCTGAACTGCCACGAGTTCTTTCATGCTTTATATCTTGCTGGGGAAAAGTTAAGAAGGTATGAGACGTAATTAATATTGTCGTATGATGCCAAGAGCTCTATGAAAGCACATGTAAATAAAATTTTCATACCTATTCACATGGAGATTTACTAGAAAAACTCAAACTTGGATTTATATCTGGCAATCTCAAAATTACAAAGTTCTCAGTCTTTCATAACATATATTTTTGTCATCACTATTTACTTATAGAGTAGGTTTCATATTGTGACTAGATTTCCTTTCATATTTTTCTCATATTTGTTTGGAGAAAAATAAAGAACAAAGATTAATATATTTTTCTTTTGAATGTATATGCAATATTAATATGTTATACAAATCTGTCCTGTAATTTGCATATTTTTGTCACACAATTTGTAACTCAGCAAAAAAATTCCAGATTGAGAATCACAACTCCAGACTAGTTAGATTAATAATACTAAAATTCAAATTTTTAATATCTATCTGATCAAAAATTTCATTTAATGTGAAAATAGAATCAGAATGAAAAGCCTGACTAGAGATTATTGGATGAGGCACATTATCCTCTGAATTAGTTTAAGAATCAGTCTCAGAACTAAAACATTCAAATTCTGTTTTAGAATAGTCCAGATTATAATATTCACTTAGATCAAGATTTCTTATAATTTTATAATATTTGAAAAATTTGGTTATTATAACTTTTTTATTTGAATCTGTTACAATAAATTTGGAAAATAATAGCTTATAAAATATATGCAATAAAAAAAGTAATTCTCAAATATCATTTCTACAGTAATATTAATTTTTTTCTTTCTTGTTCTTTGATCTCTTTAAATTTATTAATAATATATAATGGTGAGTTTTGATATCTATTAATAACATATTCTATATGCATTAACTATATATTTTCTAAAACCAAATCATATTTAAATTTGTCAATAACTATAAAACTTGCTATATTTATTTTCAAATATGAAGAGAATACTATCTCACCAAAGATATTTGATAAAGTAACAAAAACTTTTTCTTTATTAATTCAACCTCTTCTTATTACTTTCTTATCAGTATTTGTTATATTAATATCAAAATTTTTTATTGCAGAATATTTAATTTATACATTCTAGTAATATATAATTCAATTTTTTGAACAAGCATTTTACTAATACTATTATACTTGAATTTGAAATTAATTAATATCTTAATAGTTATTTTATCATTAATAAATGTACAGTTTACTATTAATCTTCTGCGAATTTTTCAAATTACTTAATCATTTTATATAATATTTATATTGTGACATTTTTTAAGATTCTGTATCAAAAAATTTTTTAGAATAAATAGTATTAACTCAGGTGAAAGCTAATTAAGTAAATTTGATATATGTATTATATAATTAGATAATTTTTTTAATTAAAAAAATAAATTAATTATTGTACAAATCTGTATATATTATAACTTAGTATATTTCTTCTGATCAGACAAAAAATCTTTTGAATTAATATTTTTTATTAATTCATCTAATACAAATACTTATAACACATCTATAAGAATTTTTAATGTATTCTCAGATAATAATCCTTTGAGAAATAGTTATTTAAAATAGTTTTTGTGAAAATCTATACTTATATTATATTTTTTAACTTCAAATAGAATTTCTTTATAGTATAATTATCTTGAATCATGTTTTCTAATTGAAAATTTATTCTTTTAAGATTTGTCTCATTTTTTTATATATTATTTATATTGCAAGAATTTTTTAGTTTATATTTTGAAAGATGCTTTAGAATAAATAGTATTAATTTAGACAAAAGTAAGTTAAGTAAATTATTTTTATGTATTATTTTTATACATGATTAGAATATCTTTCAATAAAAAAAAACTCTCTTTTGTGAGAATAATTTATTATGTTTGTTATTTTTAGACAAATAATGAATTTAGTAATTATATTTATTGATAATTTTAGATTTTGGTATTATTATATGTATTTTAACTAAATCTTTTAATGATATCAAAATTATTTAATTGAATTTGATTTATTAGATATGAGATATTTACATTTTTTAAACTAAATATTTTTTCTTCACCTTTTATTATCAGGTTCAAAGTTTACTGCAATTTTGCTAGTATTTCAAATTTCTGATGGAATTTATTATGAATATAAATATATAAAGATAATTTTACTATAAGTATAATTATAATTAGAGATTAGAACTGGTTGTCAAAATCAGATTTATAACTGGTTTGAAAATTTTTCAAAATGAATAATTAGTTTTATTATAATTGATTGTAAATAATTGATCAGTTTTAATATAACTGATTGTAAATAATTAATTAGTAAAAGTATGAATTTTTGTATTTCAAAAAAATGTGGGAATAGTAATATAACTAATTAATCAGTTGAAACTGAATTAATATAACTGATTTAATATTTAAAACCTGTTTTAATATATAATTGATTTATAACCAGTTGCACTTTTCAAGATGTTATTAAAACTGGTTTGTAAAAATATAACTGGTTCCAATCTCTAATTATAATGTGATTTTTATTATAGTTAAAAAAAGAGTGTAATTATAAATGAAATGTTTATATAATAATTATAAAAAGAATGAATATGGAGAAGTTTGATTGTATTTACATTTTTTCTTACGAGCAAAATTACAGAATTTTATTAGATAATAATTATTATAATACAAATTATTAAGGATTAAATTTGGTAACAAAATCACTATGTGAGTTGACTTTAACAAATTCCAGAAATAGGCACATCGTTACGTTAGGCGTTAGGATACCCTATCCATGGCGAAAAAAAAAGTTACGGGTCATGTGATATTTTGTATGTCCAGAAAAATTCTACGATAATAAAGGTTATTGTTAAAGATTAATTTAAAGGTTAGGATTAAAGCTCAAAGTTATATATAAAATTGCCTTCCCGACATTTTTTGTTAGTTTATCAAACTAGATTTAGGCATCTATTTCCTGTATTTTTTACATTTTTTGCTTTTTTCATTTTCTTGTGTCGGATTTGTTTTTCCGGGCTGATCAAAAATTTATGCATTTTTATTGGTTTGTATCACTAGCAGATCAAAAATTCACGCATTCTTATTGGCTGCCACGTGACCCGTAATTTTTTTCGCCATAGCTAAGGTACTTGCATCGTTATAGATTACGTATAATTGTCCAAATATCAAATATTTGGTATGGTACATAACATCTAAAGTCAACAAACTTTTGTATTTTATAAAATGTGTAAACATCTTTACTAAGAAGTAAATACAAACTTTAATCTGTAAGTGTGCTAAGAAAGGGCCTATTCTATCATATTCACGGATTAAATTTTGTATTTACTTCTTAGTAAAGATGTTTATACATTTTATTAAATACAAACGTTTGATGACTTTAGATATTATGCACATACTTGTCATCCAAAATTTAGTTAAATGTTACTTTAATTGTAAATTTATAAAGTGAACTCAAAAAAATGGAATATAAAAGTTTTCCAATAGCATTGAGTACTTATCATTATGATAGTATTTGTTGTAATTGCTGCGATGAGACTTCCATTTGAATTTCGAGCATTATGGCAATGGAAAATTGCTGAAAAATGAATTTTTAATGCCTCCCAAACTCAAATTGCCATAATTATAATATAGATCACCTATCGTAAATGGCTATTATACGTATACCGGTGATCTGCTACACGAAAATACTGTATAAACATACTTCCAAGAATGATTGGATTATTTAATTTATATAATAAATTTGCTGTGCTAATAGCCGAGGTTTTGCACCCGGAAGGGTCTATTATCAGAGGGGTCTTTTATATGGCCATTTACGGTATATGTCAAATTATAGATAACCAAATATCCCATTCAATTTTATTGATCATCAGATCACAACTTGCGTCAGATTACGCTTCACGTGATTGTCTTTCCAGCATTAACCCAAACCCTAACTCTAACTCTAGTAATATCCCTATCTTAATTTGGGCCAATCGTGATCTGACGCAAGCTGTCATTTGAGGCACAACATGTACAAGTGACTCTCGATAAAAGAAATTAAGAATTTTTCTATATACCCAATGATTTCCTTATATCAAGCGTTAATTGTATATAATGATGACGATTGTTGTCTTTAATCAAATATTACATATTCTTGTATCGTTATTATCGTTAATTAGTGACCCATATGTGAAGTAATCAATACAGCAAAAAAGATGCTTAGTATACGAATTTATTTATTTCCACTAAAATATCGATATTATTTATTCGTTTGCTTATTCTCGATAGATTTAATTTATTATTATCGACTGAATCAATTTCTTTATATTTATTATCATTGGTGTAAGAAAATACTGAAATTTCATAGGAATTGACGACAATAAATAAGTGAAGTTATTTTTTTTATATGGTTTTCTGAATATCATTGTTGTTATTTAAAAAAAGTAATTTTATGTGAGTAATACATGTATTGTATTTTTTGTCATGGCAGGTCGTTCAGGTAGTCGATGATCTTTTAATCTCTTATTTTTAAAGTTTTGCTCATTTTACAGTCGTGGCCAAAAGTATCCGACCCACCTCCTAACTTTCTGTAAATCATGTGTAATGCACCAAATTTTTCCGAGCACAAAGAACATTACAAATGCTGATCGTTGATATTTTTTTATAGGTTGTTAGAGCTTTTATATTGGATATTATATGTTCATATACTTCATGCCCAAATACAATAAGTCGGTCACTTTAGGACATAATATCTCGACATCTAGTGATTAAATTTGAGTGAAAATACCACCATTTGATTTGTCTAATTTAGGCAAATCAAATGGTGGTATTTTCACTCAAATTTAATCACTAGATGTCGAGATATTATGTAAAGTGACCGATTCATATGATTCATATTTGGCTATCAATTTAAGTGAATCGGTCAATTTAGGACGTATTACGTAATATTTTGATCTCCAATGATCCGATTTGTATTGACTAGAAAAATCGAATGGTATATATATTATTTTTCTCCGAATCGGATCTTTGGAGGCCAAGATATCACGTTCTAAATTGGCTGCTGATTAATTTTTGTTGTAAAAAAAAAAAAATGAAGCTGCTACTCTAGGACGCAATATTTCGACGTCCAGTGATCTGATTTGAACAAAAATACTACTATTCGATCGTCTAGTTGAGACAAATCGAATAGTAGCATTTTTGTTCAATCGGATCACTGGACGTCAAGAATTAGATTATTGAATATGGAGATGTGTGTTATGAAATAACTGATTATATTTGTGACGTGAAAGTTTATGAGCATACAATATTCGATATAGAAGCTCTACCAACATATAAAAAGTATCAATGATCAGTATTTGTAATGTTCTTTGTGCTCAGAAAAATTTGGTGCATTACACATGATTTACGGAAAGTTGGATACTTTTGGCCACGACTGTAATAACAAACAGATCAATTGTATTTTCACCGAAAATTTAGTTTTTCAGTAACTAAAAATAGACAAACATAATGTAATATACCGCGTCCAGATTTTTCTCTATGAAACGTGAATATCAGCTTTTTTAATACGCAAGAAATGGTAGTGATCATGCACGAGTTACGTAGTTACCAAAATAAGACACCAAAAAATAATAAATCAACCATGAACAGAGTATAACGATAACAATCAATTACTAAGAGAAAATGTAATAAAATGTAATATTTCAATACGTGTTGACAACACATCATATTAAAAGTGGTCATTTAACATACTAAAAAAGGTTAATATTATTGAAGTGATGATAATGAGGTTTAATAAAATACAAGTTTACTATTGAACGTTATTTTTAATTATAAATACAGCAGTAGCATTGTAAACTGGTTTTCTTTTAGCTTTTGTCTTTCTTCAACTTATTATTTGAATACAATTATCTCTTTGAGGTGAAAAGCTTCTTTGCCTTATAATAACAAACTAAAACATGACTACAACTCCACAAGCACATAATTCTCAAGAAGAAAATTCTGTTTCGTTAGAAGCAGAAATTCAAAGCTTAGAGTCATCTAGTGACGCTCCTTCGAATAATTTTTCTAATGTTAGCGAGCATATTGAAACTTCATCAAATATTCAACTTTTTTCGCCTGCACTTTCTGATAATTTGGAAGAAATTTCTACGGCAAGTCTTTTACAAATTCCAACAATGGAACAAGTAAAACCGAGCAGCTTCGAAAAGAACAAGGATACTGCCAACAACTCAGCCACCTTAAAAGATGTTTCGCCAAAGCAAGGCTCTCCAAGTGCTAATAATCAAAGGCAAACAACACCAACTTTCAGCGCTGACAATATTCCTATTAAAAGCTCATCAACGACGCAAACTCTTGACTCAAATATCGAGCTTCATAGTCCTTTGATAACTCCTGACTCAAATATTGAGCTTCATAGTCCTTCGATAACTCCACTCGATAATAAACTTGATAATATTTCTAATAAGACATCTGCTTCAACGTCTCCGAAAAAAATTGGTGTAATAATTGATGTGCAAGAACTTAAAGAGTCTGGCAAAAATAAAAACGAAGTCGCGTCAACTAATGACAGTAAGCAAGAAATTCAAGTCTCGTCAGCACATGAAGCTGTAGCTGATTCGAGAACTTTGCAAAATTCTGGCATGAGTAAATTTGCAATTAATGAAGCGATCGGTAGTAATCAAGAACGAGATAATAAAGTCGATATCTCGTCAAATAATAAAACTGTTGAAAAGCAAAAAATTCCGAGCACAAGTCATTCCAGACTAGTAGCTGAAGCAAGTTCTTCTACTAATAATGCTGAAGCAATTGTTACTGTTCCGAATACTCATGGACTTCCAGCCGCGTGCTTATTTGTTGCTAGGTAAATCAATTTTCCATTTCCATTTTCATTTGGGTTTATAGAATTTAAATTTATATTAATTTTGCATTTATTTCGTTAGCCTTTCGACAAATAAACCGGATGTTCAACTTCAGAAAGCTGTTTTAGAACATTTTACCAAGTGGGGAGCAGTCATGAACGTGAAAGTTCTAAAAGATCCTCAGCAACGACCATACGCATTCGTTCAATACGAGGTAATGTAGAAATACAGTAAAATATATTTTAAATTTAATATTTATATATGTAAATTTAGAATGTAACCGATGCTAAAAAGGCATTGATCCAAGCTCATAATACCCAAATTGAAGGACGGCTTATTCGCGTAGAACAAGCAAGAGTTAATAGAACACTGTTCTTAGGTCGTTTAAACAAGAATTTTAAAGAAGAGGTAATATAAATAGAATTATTTATTTTATTAATAAACTCATTTATTTAACTTTTATTTATTTTAGGACGTCAAAAGATTGGTAACTCCTTACGGAGAAACCGAAGACGTTCATCTTCTTAGAAACTACTACACTGGCCGCTCAAAATGTTGTGCATTCATTAAATTTTGCTATAGAGATGACGCGATTCGGGCTTACATTGTAATTTGATGATTTTATTTCGAAACTCTTGTCCCATCATAAATTCTAATATTTTATATAAAATAGAGCTTGAGACAAAACGCCGCTTATATCACCGAATGGGCAACCAACATTGAGCGAGCGGTTCCACGTCCCGAAGATATCGACAACTTTTCTATCTTTGTTGGATGGCTCAACGAAAATTTGGTCACTTCTGATATTCTCAAACAGCGCTTTGAAAAATATGGAGAGATCGACGATTTAAATCTGATAAATCGTCAATCTGCTCGTAATTCAGGTAGAAAAAGAACCATATGGATAAAAATGTTATTCCTGGTTTACTCCTTTTAAGATTTGTTTATCGTAGAACTGCGACCGGCATTCGCTTTTATAAAATACAAGGACGAAGCATCTGTAAAAGAGGCGATTAAGAACGAGGTACAAATTGATTCATTTACCTTACAGAGATACTCCAATTTTAACCATCAAAATTGATATTTTCATATATAATAGAATAATTTATTATTCCTTGGAAGAAATATCCGGGTAGAGCAAAAAGAATCGCCAGAATTTCGTCAATTAAAATCAGAACTGCTTCGTCAGCAGCAATTGATGCGAAATCGATCTCTACAGAATTATACTGGAATGACAAATCCACCACCAATTCATTATCAACCTCTAACATCTAGTGCATCGACCCGTCGACAATTTACTGCTTCACCGAAAAAATCGAATACCAAACAAAAGAAGTCTGACACAAATCAACAGGTGGGAAGTCTGCAGCAAAGACAACTAGTGGACATAGATAAAGAGATATTCTCCAGTAGGAAAAAAGAAAAAGAGAAAAGCCAAGCAGCTAATAAATCTTGTAGAGAATCAGATAAAGCGACAGAAGATAAATCTTTGCCAAATCGAAAACAACAACAGCAACAATCACAATCTAATTCAGTTACCACGACTCCTTTTGGCCCTCCTCCTTTAATGAATCAACAGCCCAATGTATTGTCTTACTCGCAACATGACCTTGCCATTGGAGTTTTTTTAATTTTTAGTTTATTAATAGATAAATATGTTTATTTATTTATTTATAGTATATGCCTGAAGCGTCGACAATGGGTATGCCGTGGGTCACACATGATGGCACAACACATGGTAAAAATAATTTCTTGTTTACACGATTATAAAGAAATTCACTGATTATCACACTTTTCTTTATTAATACAAAGAAATGTTTTACTATGCCGCGCCATTTATTCAAACCCCAGAAGGACCCATTTACCCATACGCACCTCCAATGTCTTTTATGGGTAACCCAACACTTACAACTTCATTCCCGCCAATACCATATTATAATAGCGACTTCTACCACGAAACTCCTGCGCTAGTTCCACAGCCGACTCATTTACCACCAATGAATTTCCATGAATATATGGCGCCAGTCCTTCCTGGACTAAGAGATTCATTATTTGGGCCTCAGGAAAATGAAAATAAAGCGTCAAAAGTCATTACACCACTAGCAAACGCGGCTCCGGTAGTAAATAACAGTAATGTTACAAATTTCCAAACTTCTGCTGGATTCAGTTCAACCTTTCAAGAACCATTTGCTAATAATAGCACCGCCGCCGATGCCCAACTGAGCGAGACTAGTGTGTTTCGCAGAGATTCGGTTTCGATTGAATTGTCGACTACTGCAGCAGCTGCTACAGGAAACGATGCAGTTAGCAATAGTGGCATGATTTGCCACAATGAAACGGTTGAATTGACGACCAATACGTCGTTGTTTCCTCAATCGATAGGCGCTGGTCATGGTAGTCAACAATAGTCAATATATGGGACAACATATTTTTTTTGAACATTTAATTAAGCAAATAAATATTTATTATGATAGAAACATTTGTAGTAATTAAATTTATGCTATATAAATAAATACGACCAATATGAGAACACAATTCGTCTATATTAGTCACCCAAAATAATCGAGAACAAAAGCCCAAAATTGTTTGTCAATTTGTGGCTATCAAAAAGTTATGGTCCTTAAGCAAAATTTATATTGGACTAATGAAACCGCGTATGGTGCATAACATCTAAAGTCATCAAACGTTTGTATTTTATAAACTGTATAAACATCTTTACGAAAAAGTAAATACAAAATTTAACCCGTGAATATACTCAGAAAGGGCCTATTCTATCAGACTCACGGATTGAATTTCGCATTTACTTCTTTGTAAAGAAGTTTATACATTTTATAAAATACAAACGTTTGATGCCTTTAGATGTTATGCACCATACACTGTAAATTTGAAGAAATTAGTTTTTAATTGATATCATTTTATCATCTTTGTTTTGAGAACGTGGCAAAATAGCATTTAAAAATATAGCCCTCTAACAAAATTTTAGCGAAATTGCATTGTTAGTTTGCTCTCCATGATTGAATCCGCAATTACTATAGATTGATCGATCAGTCCTAATTACACATGTACCAAATGATAATTTTTTTATATGCTGAAACTTTTGTTTTCTAAGAACCAAAGAGGATAGCCTAACATTCATTCTTAATGATCATTGTTGTCAATTAGGAGGAAACGAATTATTAGTAATATCATCAACATATGTAATCAATTTGAAAACTAATTTACAGCAATAAATGCTTTTCATCCAAACAGTAAGAATGTACGTATTGTATATTTTGCGTACCTTGCTTCTTTCTTTTTTGCGACGGAATGAATTCCTTGATTGAGATCAATTTTTGGTATTGAATTCCATTTCAAGTGGCAAATTTGTCTTATGGTATAAAAACAATTTTGAAGTTACCAAGAATATTTTTTCTATTAGCAGAAAAGTTGTCAAGAATATCAAACTAACAAATAAACTTATTGTTTTATCTACACAGTTAAACCGAAGGATTAATTAAACCCTACATAAACCGAATTTGGTTTCAGAAATAATTATAGTAAACCTGCTTCGATAAATATAAGTTGGTTCAGGAACAGTTATAGTAAACTTGCCTCGATAAACCGAATTTACTAAATAGACCTCAATAAACTGAGTTTTTAAAATTTTCTACCACCTCGGTTTAACGGGATTGACTATGTAATAGTTAATAACTACATTTTTCTTACTTATATAATACGGGACTTAATTTCTTATACATGAAATCTCATTTGATTTTATTAAAGTTACATAGCTACCGTAAACCACTCTTTAAAAGACCCCGAGTACTTTACATTTTACTCAACATAGAGGTTACACATATGTAATTCAGTATTAATCGATATAATAGAATAAAGGGTATTTTACAAAAGCAACTCTCAAAATGTGGGGAGGAGGGTACTTTACATTTACTTTAAAGAACATTTTACGGTATCATATGTTAATACTTCATGTAAAAGTTTTAAATTATTTTAAAAATTTTGTTGAAAAGTGTCTGTTTTAGTGAAAATGAAAATATTCAAAGTTTCATTTATAAAGAGATAACTGTTGTTTAGATCTCGTGTTAAATTTCCATGACTCGCACACAGCAAAATTTAATTATGAGCAAAAACAGGCAAATCTGCCTTGCACATTAATATTTGGTTGTTCTAACCATTGAGGTTCTTAAAATTTTCCTATTTCTCATTTGCTGAAAATTTTTGCAATGATCTCGTCCTGAAAAGGGTTAGGTTTTTTTGATATTACCAAAATAACGAAATGGAAATATTAATATTGGAAAGGAACGCCATATGTTATGACAAGTTGCATTTAATTGAAGGTGCGAGGAAACAGCGAACAGGATTTTATTAATTATTTTACGATCGTCGATTTTTCAGACTATGAAGTAAAAGTTTGATTTTTTGTTTTCACACAGATGCCCGACTTTTAATGGGATTTTTCAAATCAGCATCAACAGGATCGTGTAATACACTCACTCTTTTTCCTAGAATCATTTTTATGCACTCAACACGCAGAGAAGCACACCTACAATTGAAATTGTCGATGTCAAATTTTTAATGCGTTTTAAGTTTGGCTAATCTCACAGGTTTTATGTTGTGTGTATGCATGTACGAAATGATTTTCTTATTAATAATTAATAAACAAAAAATCACGAACGAGAGAATGCTATACATTTTACGATGTGCGAATTCTGACATTCTTATGAATATCATGAATTTTTCCTGCTACCTCGAGACCGGATTTTCAATTGTGCATTCAAAGAGATTGTGTATAACCATTACGCATGTACACACAAATACAGCACTCTGCTCATAACATTTGCTTTTCTAATTATCGGATTTTTTTGATTTGCGTTGCTATTAAATTGCGTGTATTCGAGGTAGGAGAATCGTTTTGTGTGTCCTCTAATTTCATATATTATTTATTAAGTGATACAATACAATGATAATGCGCTCGTTGATCCGTGTCGCCTATTGCAGGAAGGATTCCATATAAAGCAGGTGGCTTTTTGCTAAAACGGTAAATGATATCTTTCGTATAATAGATATCGGTAATGAGATAAACTAAAAGGTATGCGAATCTATCAGTTACCGATATGACAAAGTAGTGTATGTGATAAAAAGTTTCTAAAACGATACTCTATTGGGTTAGTATTCTTCAATGACGCATTATAATTATATTGATTATGATTCCATAACTTGTGATTTCCATATGTTAAAATCATCCAACTCACCTTTTTTGTACCTTGACTCCTTTTCTAGGTGTTTTTGGGCGATGACGGTAAAGTGTTCGTTATCAATATTCTATTGATGATGACGATTGACGATGGTGATGGCGTGATGGTGATGATGATTGATTTGTTCAATAAAGATAGATTAGCACAATAAAGAAAGAGATTTCAGTGATTTTAATTAATACTATTGTATAATAATAACGTCATTCTGATAAAGCCATAACTTGCGATATTCAATACTACAGTACACACAATAATAGTTACTACTTGTAATCGCAAACTGTTTCAAAATACATGTGTATTTTGAATTCGTGCCTGATATTAATGATCATTGATCGCAATCTAATGAATGCTAATTAGAGTGTTACTTTGTAAAAGCAATTACATTTACACGGCTGTGTTTGTGCTCTATTGGTCGAAAAATAATTGCCGAACATCTATTTTTAAGTGTTATACCAAGCAATCAAAGGGGCTTAATTCACACAAATCCCAAAGAATTTCGTAATAGTAACATTGACTAAAGCTTCAATAGAGCCATCTTTAAAGCTTAAAGGTGAGATTTTCGGAATATAAAAAAGATTGGCTTGTATCAGAATTCTATCAATTAAAAACATTAATTCCTTGCGCCTCTTGTCAGCCTTTTTTATCCCCGGCGACAATAAGAAAATCAGGCCATATTAGTCACTGAATTGCAGATTTTTTCCATCTATATGCAGTATGTATGTATTTTTATTACAATACATTACCATTTATGGATTAGATGATTTTGTAATCTGAAACTTCTATACGATTTTTTTATTGTACAGTACGTATATGTAACAAAATGTTTCATCTCCCCATCCCATCCCTTTTTCTAATTGTGAATAATAAATAGCACCAGGCTAATAAAACTATAAACAAAAATAGCTGTCATTTATCTATAACCAGATAGGTGGATGTATCATTGTTTTCGTTTTTATTGTGGCTTAGACTTTTTTCCCTTTCTCCCCTTTCTCTTGTTCTTCTTGTGAGATTTATTATGAGGTTTATTGTGAGGTTTATTGGTAGGTTTATCAGTAGTGTCATTGGTGGTAGTAGGATCAGTTTCAGTGATGGTGTTCTTTGAAGGAGGAGCTTCAGCGGTGGTGGTGTTCTTTGAAGGAGGAGCGGTGGTGACACTGTTCTTTGTTGTAACTTTAGTAGCATGACTATTGACCATGAGAGTTCCGAAATCTTGAGTATAGTAACGGCTGTTTACTCCATATCCAAAATGAGTGAAGGTTGAACTCAAAATGTTTGCTTTATGACCAGAAGAATGCATCCATCTACGAAACAAATATTTAAATAAAGTTAAGATCAATGACTTTAAAGCTTAGTTAACAAAAACACTCACGCGTTCATGACATCTTGTTCAGATTTCTGATTCCAGGCGACATTTTCACCGCAGGCAGACCATGAAAAACCTTCTTTTGTGATTCTAGTACCTAAATCACCAGCAGCATCGTCATGAGTCATTTGTTTAATTTTCGCCTGATAATCGCTGTGTTTTTGGGCTGCGCTATTAAGACGACTAAATTAAAATATAAACTAAAATTTAGTCAATGTTTCGATTTTTTAAATATAAATAATTAGGCAGGAAATTAATGAATACTTACTCATCGAGTACGAGTGCGCCCACGCCAGCTTTCTTACGTTCAGCATTTACCAAGTCCAACATTGTCTGCGGCGTAGCAAAAGCATAGTTTGCCATCACAGCAAGAATTACAAACAAAGTAGCAAAAGATTTAATAGAAATCATTTTGTGTGTATTTGAGAGATTAAAGCTTTTCGCAGAAGAGCTTTATGTATTATATGTATAAAGAAAGTTAACAAAAATATGACAGGGAAAGCCAAGTAGAAAGGTGATATTTATTAAAGGGGATTGGGAAAAAAAGTAAGAACGAGAGTGTCGCTTCCCTTCCTTTATATAGTTTATGCAACACACATAAAAAAACACAATTGTCGCACCAATAAATTGAAATATTGAATTGTTTACTTGACATAATAGTCCAGCTCTATGTCTGGTATTATGCATTCAATATATGCGAGACACACTTTTCCTATCGTTATTGGAAATCTCTGATTAAATTATGTAGTGGTTACTAATACTGGCAAGAATTACGTACATGTAATTAGTGTTTGTTGTAACGACATATTATGGTCATTATTAGTGCATGTATTATAATTTAACGTTAATAATCAAATTCAATTCATCAAAAATTCAGGTAATGATCATCTTTATTTATTTGGCTTAAACAAACATTGAAGTATGAAATAATGAACGAATGAAAACCAATCAACTTCAGTTGTGCTAATGGCACTGAAAATTTAACGTTAATAATTTCGACAAGATTAGTGCCACCTATGCAGGGACAATACGTAAATAGTTTTGTCGTATGCTGCGCATGAATCTTACATTGTTAAACAAAGAAAAATCTTGCTTGCATGCGCGAATTCATTATTGTATCAGCTCCTTGGTCCCCCTGCAAACTTATTTGGCGCAGAGACTTCAATAGATTTTGAGCATGAGCATATTGTATTATTAGAATCCGAAGTCTCAAACTTCAATTTATTTTTGATTTCTTATCCTTATTATTGGCATTTCAAGGACACATAAGCTTTGAACTCACAGAATAAACTTGAACAAATCATTTACGTAAGCCTGCTGCAACTTTAACTTCGATACTTTCCCGCGTCTTTTTCGCGTGCTAAGGTTGTGATCTTTACAAAAAAAAAACAATCAACGATGTAGAAGTTAAGAAATCCGTTAGCGGAAAAAGCCATTATCATCTTATTACGGCCAGAAACAATGGAACAATGGTTAAACAGTCCTTTTAAAGTTAAAATGATCTTACAAATGTACAACACTCTTGAAAATCATTTAGTAAAGATTACACTTTGCGGAAACTCGAGGTTTTAGATCATATTTAAAATTTTTGTCTTGATTTTTATTTATATATAAAATTATAAAATTAATTTATATAATTATTGATTGAAAATCGCCGTAGTACTATAAATTCACTCATAAATTATAGTCACTGTAATCGAAATAAAGATTTTTAGCGTACATGAAAAAATGATTTACGAAAATTGTGAGGAAATTATTATTACGAAAGTGAAGAAAAGAAAAATTAGTTTCGTTTCATTAATCTAAATGTAAAATCGAAAAAGTAAAATCGAATTGTAGTCTCGAAAAAAAATTGTTTGTTTTGTTTCTTCCATTTTCCAAAAATTGTCCAGTAAAATTCGATAAAAAACGCGGAATAAAAAATAATGACATTATTATATATACAGAAAAAAATATTTAACAAAAAATGTCGCAAATATAGAAAGTTGTACAGGTTCGTCAGCCGAGCCGAAAAAGAGTGCCACACGATGAAAAGTGGAAAATCTTCCGGTTGGAGAAAAAAAGAAAAATCGTAGTGTGAATGCGCATTTTTTTAAAAAAAAATAAGGGTGCTATATATGTAAAATACTTTTGGCCAAAACCTTTTCGACTTTAGCGAGAAGAGCTTCGGCGAATTAAAAAAAGTGTCTTTTAGGTGTTTTTTTCTTATATTATTATTAGGTTGTTGTTGTTTTTAGTATGTTTTTTGTTTCTTCCCCTTTCCAAAGAGAATTTTCTTATAAGGATTATGAAGGATTTTTTTTTTTGAATATCAACTTAATTATTAATATTAGAGATATGTATATATTTAATAGAAAAGTAAAGCTTTTTTCGAAGAATTGAACTTCTGATTTCTTGATACGGAATTTTCGTCATTAAAGATTGGTTTTTTTATATCCGAACATACGCCGCTTAATTTAATAGCGCCGAATATTTAATTAGATGATCGTAAAACTTGCACACCATTGACCAACATCTCGTCAAATTCCTCCATTTGTAACACCATCGATTCTCCTCTAACATTTTGAACATTATCGTCAAGTTCATCAATAAATGCTTCATATTCAGGGAACGAGATATATGAAGATTGTTCTGAATCAGTAGAGCTTATACTTTCACTAGGGGAACTTGGTAAAGTAGGGGATAATGGAGGAGATGTGAGCAATTGCATTGTAGCATGAATGAGGATTCGAAGCGTATTTGTTCGTTGTCTCGACTGTTTTTTAGGTGTCGATGATGCATCAATTGATGAGATTCGATCTGAAGATGATGACGTTGAAGTTGGATTTCTCATTACAAATTCGTTATCATTAATAGCGTTATTAGAAACTTCGACAATAGATTTATCACTATCCATTTTATGATTTTTATGATTTTATTAGAATAACGGAAATCTTTGATTGAAAGGTGAGAGATCAGGGATGGATTATAACAAAAGAATTGACGTTGATTTCATTCAAAATTGTCGTTGTCTTGTCTTTGCTTTTTCAAAGTTTCTTTATCACTTTTTGAGATCAAAGCAAAAGGAAACCAAGAATAGTTTTTATTATACGAGCGAGTAAAGAATTATTGCTATTAAATTTTTATAACGGCGTTTTTCTTGTCGGATTTGCTGAATTATGGAGAGGGATAACTTTTATATATTCGAAAATTGCTCGTAACACAATTCTCTTTTTATGTGTATATATAAAGTATGTATACTGTATATATAAATGAGATATTTGATCAAAAATCACACACCAATTGTTATATATGCGTTATTGTTGGGCAGCCACACAATATATTTAATGTGATAGTAAAAAATGAAAAAAAGGGCATAAATGAGGGATGAAAATATGTGTATGTGGAAAAATGGCTTGTGTTAATAATAATCTATATACATATACATACATACATATATATATATTATATATATATGTTATTTTATTTATTTTAATAGTTGAACGTGAAAAACGGTGCGAGTATTTGGTTTGGGAGATGATAAATCGGTATCAAAATTGAAAATTTTTTCAATTAGAGTGTTTGTACGAGCTTGGCTGTATATTTTTTATTATCAATAAAAATATATACTAAACAAACTTGGTTTCGTTACAATAAGAGTTTCGGTAATCGGGGTGTTTAAGTGGGTTATTGGATATTAATTAGAGTAATTAACAGCAGAAAAAAAAAAGTTTGGACGAAAACCCAGTTTTTCCTGTCGATTTTTAACGCGCTGTTGACTTCTCTTTACAATCGTTTTTCTCGTAACTAGAGCTGTTTGTTTGGATGATAAAACAGAACTGGCATACGGGAAAAAAAAGATTCGCAAGGATAAAAGACGAGGAGACTGGCTTTGGATCGTTCTACCAATGCTCGAAGGGCAAGAAGGCGAGTTTTACAGGAATGGCGCCCTTTTATATTCACAAACCCCAAAGTCAAACAGCAAGTTCTAGTAGTTTATTATTCTCCGGGTATTATTCATGATGATTATTAATAATATTATATAATGATAATATTGATCACTTTATATTATCATATTATATATTTTAAAAGTAATTTTTTATGTGTTTCTTGTATATCTATATACATATATGCGTGTGTGTGTGTGTGTGTGTGTGTGGAAGGGATTTATAACTTCTGATTTGCATAGCAAACAAATAATAGAAAAGTGTAAATTAAAAGATCCTTTCTCGTAATAGTTAGTTCCTCTGACAAAGTATGTATTCTAAATGCGTTATATAAAATGTTTTATAGTAGAAATCTAAAATAGACAAGCGTGTAAGCTAATCATGGCATAACATATATTACATAACAACCAGGTTTCTCTTTTGTGGAAAGAGACCCACGTCGAAAAAAATTTTTTACCATAAAAATCCTGGTACTTGCCAGAAAAGGATTATTCGACAATGAATTGTGAATTGAATTGCTGTATCTCTGCACACACGCTGGATTAGGTGTTGATTACTATACATCGTAATTTGGATCGTTATTCACAAATAATGGTGAAAACAATTAGAAACGAGATTCAATGAATTGACCTCACCATCACGCAAAAGTTTAAAACAATAACACGCGCATGGAAAAAATTGTTTCAATTACAATAACAATCATAACAATAAAAATAGAAACCGATTTCGAAAAAACGACATCTTCTCGATCGCGAGTTTTCCTCTCGCATGTCACAAAATTGTGTCAAAAAAGCGGGGTAAAATACGAGTAACTTTTTTTTTTTAATAAAGATCAGAAACCAAACCGTTATTTGACGAATTAACTAAATTTGATTTACTCTCTTTCTTTGACGAATTTTCGTGGCCAATGCGATGACGCGTGCATGATTGTAATTACGATGATTGTTATTAAACGTGTCAAGATGAAAATAACAATATAATTATATGATGATGATGACGACAACGACGACGATGACGATGGTGCTGATGATAATAATAATAATAATAATATTCTCAAACAATTTAGTATATCGATTGTATTGATACTTGATTTAATTGTTTGCTGAAAAAGTATTTTACACTTGCAACGATCATCATCAAATAAAAAACAATAAGCACATAATCGAAGCAAATTTAATAGATACGGATCATAATAATTAATCTCCAAACTCTCGAGAGAAAAACAAAAATAAGAATAATAAAATAAAGCTCGGTAACTTTTTTGTGATTCACTCATTACATAACGGGTGCCCCGATCCTCCACGAGGTGATAATAACGTGCACAAAAAAATTTATGCGCGCAGATAATAATAAAGGTAAACAATAAAGCAAGCATTATACAAAACTAGATTAATGCCCGCGAACAATATATTTTCTATAAAAACAAGCGATTCCCGCACCACCGAATATCTTTCACACACACGCTTTTGTTCTGAAAACCATAGACAATAGACAGTATTGAAGACTACTATTGTTATTATTTATATTAGTATTTTTACAATTGATGATAAATGTGTTACTTGTGTATCTATCCCTTTACCAGTGCGGGTAACCGATCCTTTTTTCCATTGTTCGTCGAAATAGAATACGTATTTCGATTTTTCTATTTTTATGTTTATATGCAAAAAAAAAGACTAAGTTGACTCTTATGACTAGTGAAATATTCAGCGTTTCCAAAAAAACGAAGTTCATCGATCATCGAATTTGCGGATCGGAATGGGTATCATCTTGCATCGATAACGATATAGCGATTGCTTATTGAAAAATCTGGAAAGAAGACCTGTAGTCAGTTAATCCTTGCTGATCAAAGAGAATTGATTGGTCATATAATCGGAATTCGGTATTTTCTAACAGTTTTACTTATACAGTGGAAGAGTAATCAAGATTTGATCAGTAGATAACGAGCAATTACTAACCTATTAACAGAACGTACATACAATGGCTGTGACAACATCCCAGATCAAGGGGCAATAAAAGAGCAAGGGGAAGTCAAAAAATGGGCAATAGGGGAATTTTCAATTCGGATTTTATGCGTTGAAATTTGGCGTGTACGAGTGGTATACATGCATTATGCAAAAGAAAAAAAATGGGCGAACCAACGAGTGTTGAGCGTCTATTGTTTCCTATTTAAACAAATAAGAGTTACGTGCATGACAAAGATTTTATTTTTAAACTATGTGCAAAATTTAAAACGCGAGATCATACGTTAAAGAGAATTTTTTAATTCAAATTCAGGCTTAAGCTTTTTAATGTTAGCGAAGTGTCAATCTAAATTTAGATTTTTCAATTCTTTGATTCTATATTAATTTGACAGCAACTAACCTCGGGTTTCAAAATATCAGTTTGTCTCACAAAAGAGTTGTTGGTGTCTACGAAATTTTCTGGATAATCCGATTATGAAATATTTGCGGGGATGCTTGAATTGTTTATCGCTAATGTTATGAGGAACTGAAAATTACGATATGATTACGCAAATTACCATAATAACAACAGACCTTACCACGTTGTTTTCCCGCTGATTAATTCGCTGGAAAAGGAATCTAATCATTTTTTTCCAAAAACCAACAATAATGCGACGAATAACTGATACTTTAAATTATGTCAAAAGCAAAAATGTGTACAATAGAAATGAATGCTTGTATACGACTTTTGAAAAAAGGGGCAAGGAATCTTCATGACGCAACAATGAAATAGTAAATAGTAAATAAGGAGAGGGAGAAAAAGTTGTGGCACAAGACTATTTATTACGTTATTCTCATCCTTTTGTCGACCAAAAGGAATAACCTCGGAGACAATGACCATTGAGATTGAACAGATAACATGTGTTTATTTTTCTCTTTCAATATTTTTTTACTTTACTGCCTCTAATAGTAAATGGGGTAAAAAAGGAAAATCAACGTTTCGAGATCGTATGATTAGTAAAAAATCTAGAACTCTTGCGGAATAAACTAACGCTACATTTCTTAATTTATTGTTATTCCGCGAATTCTTTCTTGTTTGGATCCACGTTGCGTTGTCGATCGATCTCCCTTAAAGTTTGACATTCCAAATGTTCCTTAATTTATATTGTTAATCAATCTAAAAATACATGTTACATGTAGATTTACATGTAGATAATGGTCTAAATCCACATGGAAATCAAGAAGACCCGACCTTAAAAGGTCTGGGAACAATCATGCAGATGCAGGGATACGGTTTCTTGTGTACTTTTCAATCTGGCAATTACTTGACATTCAATACATACATTCAATGGAGAAAATTAAATGGAACACAATATATTTAAATCCTCTCACCACTCGAATGTTATTATAAACACGCCAAAGCTGATACATCATAGACTCTGGATTTTCTGTCCTGTGGCGAAAAAATATAAAACAAATAATCTAAAAATAAAATAAAGAATGAACCGAGAACAATACATATATGCATATACTACTACAAAAATATTAAATGTTTGGCACTACATTTATGTACCACGGAGGGAAATGCCACCTTGCATTAAAGAACAATGTTTGTCCAATTCAAAGATAAAACTAAAAAATGTGCGTGATTTTTTTAGGTTTAGCATTAAAACACAAACATGAAAATCAGCCTCATCGTGTGCATTTCTTTTGGGATACCGCTTTAGTAACGCACCAAGAAAATCAGCATAAACCTGTTTCTACTTCCCCACAATTTCACGTGAGTCATTTAAGAGCATGAGGATATCGCTATTTACATTCAAGTGTGTTATCGAAAAATACAAGCTTAAAAACTCGCTTTTAAGAACAATAATAACAATAATAGATGGCGCTGCAACATATGAAAAAAAAAGGGAATTGTAACTTTAATATTTTCGCATAAATACAAAGAAAAAAAAGCTCGAATTAAAGTTTTATTTAGATGCAATTTTAGGATAGTTCAATGAAAGAATTTTTTCGCACATTACTTTAGATAAGAAATCGATAAAGCAAGTATTTAGTCATTTTAAACTAATCTGCTTGCATTGCAAGAATTAATTTTTACGATCAAAAATGGATCGAATTCTCTAATTTGGTAAATCAATTCGAGTTGTCGGTTAATTGTTACAGAACAATTATCACGTTATTTTCTATGTTCTTCTCAAGTCAAATATAAATGCAATAGCGTGGGTTCCTCCAATAATTCATTAGATTACAATCAACCTAAGATTAAAACGAACATGATAATTTTCGGCGTTTCTTCGTGAGAAAGATATTTATTATAATAACATAAGTTAAGAAAAAACAGCAACTACAATATTATCAGTACATACCGATACAGTTTTTGGTAAACTTTAAAAAAGAGCGAAGTTGTTTTGATTCAAGCGGCATTTATGTCAATGGCGTATTTTTTTTTGCAACTTCGAGTACAACGATAACAATAGAAATAATGATTCTAAAAATTTTTTTCTGTCCAATTTAGCGTTGATTAATTCATTGAACACGCAATAAGACGCCATCGTGAATATGCCCGTTTCCTATGTTTAATGGAGCTTTAATTGTTTTCTCTTTTTATTGCAAAAATTTTCTTGCCTCGAGGCGTAATTAATAAAAAGTTCAACATGCGTACATTCTTGTCAAACAAATATCTACCGGAATGCAATTGTATAATTGTATGTTAGCAAAAATGCAGATTTCTTGCAGCCGCAAACAATTCTCGATGAAAATTAACATCGATAAGTTGTTGATGGATATTAATCACCGATACATTAATGGATGAATGATATGTAACACACCGAGATTGCGAATAAACTAGAATCCTAATTGTTAATAGCATCTTAGAACGATACTTGTACCGTTTACGAAATTTAAATATCACATACAAAACAGATCTTCCTTTTTTTGTTTTTGGAATTAATAGGAATACGTAATTCTTTCGACATAAACCTTAAAAATTGAACACATGTGCGTGTTAATCTGATTGGATATCTACAACGTATACATCCATACTAGACTATATTTGAAATTATGGCATTAACGATAAACACGTATTCTTAAAATTCAGATGCGATTACAGGACCTTCAAATTGATAAAATGCGAGTTCGCATAATTGCACGCATTTTTTGTGTGATACACGATCTTTTGATTGATGGGAAACCCGTAAAGAACCACTGTTTTCACTTGGATAAAGACAAACTTGTTATCGTTGTTTCCTATCGCTAAGGCTTACTTTTGCATATGTAATTAAGGAATTAATTGAAATCAACGAATCTTTCTCTTTAATAAATAACAGCTGTACGATCCATAAATCTGTCGGTCATACATCTGATACATTGATCAATCAAAACAATAATTTTACATAAGTATCGCCGATAAGTTAACAAAATTCGATTTCGGGAAAGAAAAGGCAATATCCAAAGTACATGTTTTATTTTAATTGATTATCTTTGGATACTAAAGAATATATATGCTTTATGCTTCTGGTGTTTATTACTAATTACATGAATATGTTATTTATTAGTGAATATGTTCTACAAGCTAAAAATTTGAACTCGAAAGAACTTGAATGGATGAAAAACACCAGAGAATCGAGTAAGGATCTTCAAAAACAGAAACTTGAATGACGAGTTAACGATTATTACCATTTATAATCATACTTTTTAAATCAAATAATCGTCTGTTTTATACATAAACAAGTGCATTTTTTTTCCTGTTATTTGTATAGTAATGGTAAGTGTGTGAATGCGTAAAATAAATTGGGTGTCGGCTATTTTCTAATAATATAATTTGTAATTATCATCACGAGTATTTTTGAAATCAGATCTTACCTCAATTTTCGCACAATTGTTTTCTTCATAGAAAGTTTTAATGGTGGATTCTCTTAGGATTAGAACTTCTTACTTCGATGATAACGTCTTGATTTATATCATGAATAAGATCTATCAACTATCTTGAAAAGTCAATTGGGTGACTATGGGAGGGTGCAACTAACTATAAAGAGGTGTGACTACAAAGATGATTTGACTGTATTTTAAAATATCGAACTAAAATCAATAAAAAATCATTGAATTCACTAAAAGTTCAGTTTGAAATATTGGACCAGGTTTAAACTCAGCCTGTAGAAACATTATGTCCAATTGGTCATTGTCATATAATGTATTTATGTATTTGACCAACAATTATACAAGTACTGGAAACAATAATTTATAATGAATTTATTATTTTATTTGTAATATTATATATGTATAAACATTCCAATTAGCATTTATGGATTAGTGCACTAACAATTTTAATCATAACGAGTTAAATTCAAAGATCAACGAATAAAATTATGGCTCGTATATTTCATTGAATTTAACGCGATGCATGTATGATCTGAGGAAATCCTATCCTTATGGATACTAGGGTACTTTCCATTCAACACAAAAAAATAAACCTGTTGTTCATTTGTTCACTTTTTGATAGCATGCAATGCAATAGTAAGTTTTCATTCTTACAAAAAAATTTTTATACTGATATTGCTATTAGGCAGTGTGTAATAGATAAATACACATGTACAAATTAAAAATTCCTCTTTCCCACAAAGATCGCAGTGCTATAGCAAGATAAAGGTCAATGAATAAAAAAAATATTTGCAGTACATCGCATTGGTGTTTATCATTTTAATCTTTAATTATATATAAAGTATACATGTATAAAAAGTGTGAGCAATACCCGTCTGAGCGCGCATATTGTTTGCGCACATGCATTTCACGCCCGGGATATAAGAACATTGTATAGATATAAAAATGAACTTACATTTAACTACAAATGCAATATGTACGCTAAACTTTCTCATGTCTTTTTTTAAAATTACTCGCAAGAATAATTCTTAATTAATACAGGTAGAAAACACTATATAGTGGGGGGAGGGTTTTTTGTAAACCTCTAGAGGAATCACGAATTTCCCAGTAGTTTCCTAATAACTCATTGAATCTAGGAGAAAAACCATTCAAAGCCACTAGGAAATCCGTAATTCCTTTAGGTTCACCAGAAAACCCTTTACTACTTGTGTCAAAATTTTTCTTAATTGTACGATATTTGCAACAAAATCACATAAGAAGATAAAAAAAATTTTTAAAGTTCAGAGACCCAAAGCGGTGCAAGTATCCACAATCAACATGGTACCATGAAAAATCACCGTGGCATATGCACGCATTTGGAAAAAGATGGCTGGCTGCATTACATTTTTCATTAAATTTCATTTACCATTACTACTATTTATGCTCGTTTTGGATGTTTTTGATTCTATGTATGCAATCGCCCCAAATAAAATTAACTCGGGTATTTCCTAAATAGAAAGTTTGCGTTATTGAACAACAATGTAAATAATATAATCAATAACTGCGGGGTACTTCTAATTTTCCATTTAGTTAATAAAATTATTATGTACGTTTTGGTGGTGGCATTCATTAATTTTAGCTTTAAAAATTTAAGAGTTGTTCATGTACATGAACTTGCATTAAATGCTGCACAGATTCTCTGGATCCAACAATGAAAAACGAAGCAAATTCATATATATATATACTATCTAAGGAATAACAATTAATGCTGGTTTTTATACTATGGTTAGATCTAAATTCAAAAAAGACCAATTGAGCGCATGAGGAAACAATGAACAAAAATTCCTCTAATATACTATAATGTGTTTATCTTAGATTCTTACCACACTTTGTATTTACCAAACAACAGAAATTCCAGAGAAGATTTTTATATGCATGTGGTTATATATAATTCTATATTGAGTTTTAATGGTTAGATTGAAAGAACGTGACATCACAACGGTGTTATTGATTTTGATTTAATGACGTATTTTTATGATCTACACCGAAAAAGTCATTCAATTCACTCACGTGTTACTAAATAGACAATGAAGATTTCCTGCTTTGTTTTGTTGTTTATCTGGTTTTTTCCATTAAACCCGCGAAAAAACCACGCAATCATTTTTTTATTATGCATATTTTTTAAATGGCATCTAGAGGTACCCAAGTCCAAACAAAATGGATCGAGACAATAGACAGTCGATTTCAAACGTGTCGAAGAGATGCTGGCCATAATACAGTTGAATGTTGTTGATCTCTGAATCTATAATTAGATAAAGGGTTAAAACATAATAACAATAAAAGGTGCCCCGACCACTTTCTTTTTTGTATTTGGAGAAAAAGATCCGTTCTCATGTTCTGCCGGAATAACAATAATCACTGTGCATTTACCCCCAAAAAATGTATGACATCTCGTCGTGATCAAATAATCAATTTTTCATGTTCATTGTTTTAATAGAAAATTAACTGTGGCGAGTGATTAAATGAAATGGCAATGTATGTACCACCCATACTGTTGATTTCAATGAGAGACTGTTGGTTGTCGGCCGATCTGTCCAAACAATAATAAAGATCATCCGGTTCTATTTACATGTATTATTGATTATCGTCGGAAATCTCTTCAATAAGGAATTACATGTATTATCCCGAGACCATAAACTTTGATATACAAAATATAAACATATACAATCAGCATCTTTTTTATTATCCTAAATTAATCAGATCTATTTCTCGAGACTCTTTAATTTTGAGTCATTTGAGTCTCCAAGAACAAATATTTATTTACATTACTAACAATAAATCTAGGTTAGGACTCGAATCGTCGTGAATATCTGTCTGTACGCATATTCACTAATACGGCATAAACGGGAATAAAAAAAATGCATTTTTATCATTATCGTTATTTTGACGTTTACCTTCTACATGCACATTACATAAAAATTCAGATTAACAGCAGTAAGCATATGCATCACTATCATTTCTCTTTTTTTCACCATTTTGTTCAAGATCGGGATTTCCCTACGTTTGCTACGATATCGACGATGGTCAAAAAATTCAGCATTTTTGGATGAATGCGAAAATCTTGAAATTTCGTCTTTTATTAATTAGCGTCGAAACAAATTTTCTTTTCATCCACGTTCCTCCCTTGAATATCGACAATGTGCAGAATATACAACTTTATTAAGTAAAAACTCTCACGCGTTTACATACATGTAAATCGCATGCGGCAAATAGTTTGCTGCTTGCTTAACTAGGCGTACATTAGGTTCGTTATTCCGTAAAATTTAAGCTTGACAGGTTATTATCTAAAAATAAAAATTAACATATCTATCATCGGATTCTTGAAAAATTATTTGATTTGATTGGCGTTTTTTCCTTCTCATTCCCCATTCCAAAGTATTGTTGAATACACATTGTAAGAATCGTATGGACGTGGAACCGAGCCATTGTAGATCGTACTCCTTTTCAAGCAAGATGAGGGTATAGAGGTACAAAACTTCGGGCGCCATTTTACTGGTTACAATATTACCAATTCTATACTCCATCATTGATCGTGTGAAAAGTTTATCCTTGTATTCTAATTTTTATATAATAACGATAATTAAAGTAGTTTAGCTAATTTGTTCATGAATTATAATCAAATTTATTGTCGTTATTGTTGTTTGTTTTTACTCAAAAAATTCGTGTCATTCAATTTTTCTATAAAATGACCGACTTGAAACCAATTTACCAAGTTGTGTACGTTAGCAAGACAAAAATTAAGAAATAAGTCTCGCGATATTTTGCAAGTTAGCAAACGCTTAACTTTAACGTTATTTTTTTTTAACAAAATCTGCCAGAATTCGTAAATTTCTGGATAATTACTCTTTTTGACAGCGATTCATACGCATTTATTCAAGATCAATCTTGCACCTTATTCGAAACTTACAAAAATGCCTTCGTTCAACAACAACCACACTTCTACTTCTCGTTTTTCTCGTCAAAAATCAAGTCATGAGGTATTCACCGAAATAAATCATAGCAGTAATAATGATAGCAACCATCAATCACAAAATAATTTTGATAAGAATTCTAAAACTTCAAAACCCAAACTTCCACAACAATCAAATCTTACAAAAGCTCTTTTAAGAGATCATAATCGTCGACTACAAATTCAAATAGTAAGTGACAAAGAATTTGTTGATAGGTTCACATCGATGGAAGGTCTTCTCGCGCAATACGAAACGATTTTGGCGTTTGAACGAAAACAACTTTATAAGAAACAAGAGGCGGCGAAAAATGTACCCTCAGGATTTTTGAAAAAAGATAAAAGATTTTGGGAATTTCGAATTGAGAATGAAACTACAACTTTTGTACGATACGGTTATATCCAAGAAGATGGGGAATTGAAAGAACGTGCAGTACAGAAACAACAGCATTCGAATCCTTCTATGGCTAGAAGATTTGTAGAACGATTTATCGACGAGAAATTGAATTCTGGTTACGTTGGTTGGACTCGGTGGTGAAGATGAAATTCGCTTTAAATATTATAATCCCCCAATATTTATGATTAATTTATTTGACTGTTAATTTCTTCAATGTACATTTTTTTATAATTGATTCTTTAATTGATTAATTGATTTCTTTATAATTAATTAATTTCTTTATAATTAATTAATTACAAAGAAGTTAATTACCTATTATCAATTTAATTCTTTCCTGTCCCTTTTCTCCCTTTCTTCTGTAGATAAAAAAGTATCTTTTTAATATTTTAATTAATAATTTGTAAATAGTTATTCGAAATAACCCCTCACCCAACAAAAAAACTGTTGTCATGCGTGTGTAGTTATATGAAATTTATAAGAAAGATGTCATTTAATCTATAAACTAAACTAAATATTTAAGGAAAAAATTATGAGACTTTAAAATATATGCTTTTTATTATGATTATCATACATATAAGCAGATGTTAACCATAAGGTCCACCCACCTCTTTTTAATCTTTGTGCTTTTTATGCTATAGAAGAGAAGAAAAAAAATGAAAAAAAAATTAGAAAATTAGAAAAAACGATTCAAATAAAAGATTTTCCTTTTTTTACATTATTTGCACATGTGATTTTTTATTGTTCACAAAAGATCAGTCGCGTTTATCACTCGCGTTTTTTTTCCGCGTAAGCTATCCGACGTTGTACTATCTCCTCTGAAACATTTTCGACTGGGGTTTTGCTTTTCGTGTATTAAGACACATACAATCGGTTAAATGTGTAAACTTGAATCTTTGAAACTGTAATCAGATTTATTATTTTATTATTAAAATAAAAATTTATTTGTTAGAAATTTCGGGATTCTGATCGATGATGCCTTAGTAAACTTTAGAGTCACCGCCAAAAAGAAAAAATCTTTGGCTAGTAGATTCGTTTTTTGTATATTTTTATTTTTTTGAGAAATAGTCTATAAATTTCTAGATGATGCATCCGTAATAAGGGATGAGTTTAGCATATATAGCATACGTTGATTTCAAACTTATTTATTTATACAAAGCCCATAATATTCTTTAATATCTATTTTGCATTTTAAAGTGACGTCTAAGTTGTTTTTTTCTTGCATAATAGAATTGAAAGAAAAATGCATATAGTTTAGAGCTCCTTATGTACATCTAAAATCATCAAAATAATCATTTATTCACATGCAGCTGTTTTAATTTAAATATGCGATTAACATTATCGTTATGATGCATAACATTTAAAGTCAGCAAATGTGATTGTACACTGGTATGATGATAAAAAAATAAGAGTGATACCTATTTGAGTATGGTATGATTAGGGTTAAGTATGAAGTCAGAGAATAGTTTATAAATAATTTGATTTGATATAAAACATTTTGATATGTTTATTTTTTACCATATCATACCGTACCAAAATGCTCAACCGCCATATTTAAATAGTGTATAATCAAAAAAATAAACATAACAAAATGCTTAATTATATCAAATCAAATTATTTATAAACTATTTTCTGAATTCATACCAAAATGCTCAATCATATTATACTTAAATAGGTATTACTTATCAAATATTTGTATTTTATAAAATGTATAAGCTTCTTTATTAAGTAAATACAAAGTTTAATCTGTAAATATGCTTAGAAAAAACTAATTCTATTATATTTATAGATTAAATTTCGTATTTATTTTTTTAAAAAAGTTTGTACATTTTATAAAATACAAATATTTGATAAATATAGATATTATATATCATATAATAAAGCTGATAAGATTTTTATGTGCTTAATACTAGAGTTCCAATATAATTAATAAGAAAATAATCAAATAAATCATTAAATATAAAAAAATATTTTTTTGTATATATATACAAATTAATTTTATAATTCAAGCTTTAATTTTTCAAATATATATAATATAATAAATTTAAACTGTTTTAAGACAATCAAGCTAATGATATATTATTTGATAAATTTCAAAATATTAAAAAATTATAAATTCTTATTAAATATTTTTTTATAAGTTTATTATTACAAAAACTTTATTTAAAATTTTATTAAAAAATATTAAATAATAAAAACAATTAGATTAAAATATATTTTATTTATTATAAAAAAATTATAAATTTTTAATTAATAAATTTTATAATTATATTTAATAAATTTTTATCTTTTTTAATATATTTATATTTTTGTATTAGATTATATTTTAAAATTAAAAAAATATTAAATAATATAATTTTGTTATATTTAGTATTAAGAAAAAAAGTTGAAATATAAACTTTAATAAAAACTATATATCGAAGAATTTAGATAAGTACTTTATATTAAATAATATGAAATAATTAAGTAAATATTATAATAATAAACTCAAGTTTAAAATTAATAATTTTATAAATAATTTTGTAAAGCAAAATTCTAATAAAAAGAATTCTATTATAATATAAATTTTAATAAATATTTTAATTAAATAATTTATTATTTATTTATTAAATAATATTTTATTATAATTTAATAGTATAATTTTATTAAACAATTATTTTATAATTAGTTATTAATTTTTTATTTATATTAATAATATTAATATTTGTATAATAATATTAATAATATCAATAATATTAATAAGAATACTTGTATTAATTAAATTAATAACTTTAATAAAACTAATAATTTAGATTTACAAAATTAATAAAGTTAATAATAGAATTAGTAATACTATATTATAATTGATTTATATAAATATATTATATATAATACTTATTATATATAGTATATAATATCTAAAATCATCAAATATTTGTATTTATAGAATTATAAACTTTTTTACTAAAAAGTAAATACAGATTTTAATTCATGAATACAATAGAATAGATTATTTTTAAGTATATTTATAAATTAAAATTTGTATTTATCTTTTAATAAAGAAGTTTATATACTTTATAAAATACAAATATTTGATAATTTTAAATATTATGTATTATAATAAGAAAAATATATTTTTTTATTTTTGTATTATAAAAATTACTTAAAAATATATAAAAATTTACTTTAATATATTATAATTATATTTTCTTAAAATTATAATCAAACCTTTCTATAATTATATTATTACTATATGATATTTTAGTATCTAATATAAAATATATCATGTTATTTTAAGTATATTTATATTAAATAATTAGTAAATATATGATCTACAAATTACAATCTCTTTTTAGTTCATATTATTTATTTTATATTTTCATACTATTCATTTTTATTTCATTTTATTCTCAATATATATCATATTATTTTATTATATTTTAAATATATTTTATATTGTTCATTTTATATTTCATACTATTTTATTTTATTTTATATTATTCATTTTACTTTAAATATATTTTATATTATTGTATTTAATTTGTATTATTTCCATATTATTATTATTATTAGTATAAAAAATATATATTAATCAATCTTTAAAGACCAAATTAGCTTAATAGTAATTCATAATAATTAGTTATATTTAAATAAAAGATATAAAATATTGAGACAAGCATCACAAGATAATTTATAAAATGAATTAAGTCTCATTTTAAATAGAATATATTAGTTCTAGATTAAAAAAATCAAGTAACAAATAATTATTATAAATATAGTATGTATTTTAGCTAGAAAGATAGATAGTCTTTGATTAACTTAGTATTAATAAAGTTTCTTTGTTTTTATTCTTTAATAAATATAATAACTAACTTACTGTATATTTATCAGAAGAATTAATTACTTTGTGTTTTCTTTTTTTAAATAATAATAAAAATTCTTGATAAATCTAGATTGCTTCTTGATAAAGTAATACTCATATTTTAAAGAACTTTATGTTCTATCTTTTATAAATTCTTTTATAATTCTTTCATAACTTTTTGAGTTCTTGGTGAACTCATTTTTATTTTTTAAAACTTATATTATTTTTAAAGTTCTTAGTGAATTTATTAGATCCTTTGTAAATTATTTAGCATTTTGACTAACTTATAATAATATTAGAAGATTATTTCATATTTTGCTTATTCTTTCATGTTTTTTATATAAATATAGTTATTGCTTACTATATAGTAAAAATCTTTATCTGTAAAGACTACTAATAGTAATAATATTCATTTATAATCATATCTCTCTATATTTATCTTATTTTATTTTTTATTTATATATAAATATAGTAAAAAAATTTTTTATAATTACATTCTCTTTATAATTATCAAAGTTTGCTTTTTTGAGAATGATAACTATAAAGAGACTTAATTATACTTAATAATATATTTTATTTCTATTATTTTTAATATTTGATCTTAATTTTGATATATTTAATTAAAAAATTTTCTTTTTTATTTTTTTAATATTTTAAGTTATTAAATTATTTTAAAAAATTTGTTTGTAATATATTAAAATATATATATTTAACTTTTTATATATTTTTAATTAAATTATATAATATAATAAAAAAAATTATTATTTAGATTAATTAATTTAATTTTATTTTAATTTTATTTATAATATACTATTAAAATTTAATTAAATAATTATAATAAGTTAGTTTATAAAATAATTTTAAGTAAACTTGATTATAATATATAAAACTATATATCTATAAATTTTTAATTTTTTTATAGCAAAATAAAGAAAAACAATATTTATATATATAATAAATATTATATTTTAGCTAGAATTTAGTAATTAAAGAATTTAATAGCTAATAAATAACTTGTAAAATATTTTAAGTTATATATATTCTTACATTATATTATTAAAAATTGAAAAAAAATATGATAAAATTAACATTGTTTTTTTATATTAAAATTTGTTATTTTATTAATAAATATTTTTTTTTCAATTTTTGATAATATAATATAGAGATGTATATTATTTTATTAATAAATATTTTTTATTTTTATATCAAAACAAAAATTATAAGTTATAGTTTAATATATATTTTTTCTAATAAAATTGTTCTAATTGCAAAGTTATTTTAAAAATTTTTTATAATTAAAATG